GGCAAAAAATCTCCTTTCTAATTTTGTAAAAGTTGGAGTCTTAATCCCTTGACTTTAAGGGATGAGGTTAAAGAAGTAACTCAGATTTTTGGTTTTTTTTTTTGGTTTTTTTTTTTTTGGATGGAGTGAAGGATAACGGGACCTTTAGTTTTATATTCCTCTAATTCTTCTGACAGCAAGACCTTCCACTTCCACATCTGAGATTGCTCCTGGAAACTAATTTCAAGGTTTCCACTTGCATGAAAAACCTGTACCCAGAATCATTTTTACCATTTTCTTTCCACGTAACTTCCCAGGTCTTGCTTTTCCATCCAGGAGAAACTGAGGGGTCATTTTGGCAATTATTATTTCCTCATAATGATAAAGCCTCATCCACCAGATCTTAAAGTCTCATATGTAACTGGGATAAACCCAAATGAGCTCCCTGTATTAATAATTTTAGTCCTGGTTTGCATATTTTCCTGTTTCTTTGGTGGTAGGAAGCAAGTTTACTTTATAATGATCAAATAGTCTCACCTTTCCCTGTGTACCTTCATTAAAAGATAGAATATTTATTTGGAAACTTGTGACACATAAAAGCTGTGTGGTTTTCCAGGGCAAATGACATCTATTCCACAGCTCTGCAACCTGGCTAAAGGTTCCAGTACAATAAGTGAGCAGAAGAATAGATGTTGTTTATATTCACCCAACCAGAGTTGACGTGCTCTTCTAACTTGTTCTCATTTACACCTGCAAATGGACAGTTCAACAAAGTAATGTTTTATAGAATAATAGAATCATGGAATGGTTTGGGTTGGAAGGGACCTTAAAGATCATCTTGTTCCAATCCCAACAACTTCCACTCTCCCAGGTTGCTCCAAGCCCCGTCCAACCTGGCCTTGGACACTTCCAGGGATCCAGGGGCAGCCACAGCTTCTCTGGGCAACCTGTGCCAGGGCCTGCCCACCCTCATAACTGTGAATTTCTTCCTAATCCCCAATCTAACCCTGTTCTCTCTCAATGTGAAGCCATTCCCCCTTGTCCTGTCACTCCATGCCCTTGTCCAAAGTTCCTCTCCAGCTTTCTTGGAGCCCCTTTATATATTTTTTTCTTATGATATTATGAATACTTTTCTTTCTCCAGCTTACAAATAGAAATTTGTTTCATTCCTTTCCTCTTCTGGTTCTGTTTCTGGTTAGCAAAACCTATTTAAAACAAGCCTCTATATGTTCCTGTGCAGTTGGAAAAAAACTGTGTTGAATTTGATTGTGAAACAGGAGAAAGTTCAAGAGATTAGAGCCTGTTTTTTAATTTGAATCAGTCAAATTCCAAAAGGTATAATTTGTACCTGACATAAATGGGATTGCTGTTGTCCTGTCTTTTCCCTGGGAGCCAGCCTGCTGCTTTCTGCATGCAAGGATGACTTTAGGCAGGGGTTTAGACCCTCTTCTTGATAATTCCCCCATGGAATCTTTATTGCAGGCTTGGTAGTCTGCATTTATTTGCATTTAGCTGCACTTCCCATCTATTTGCTACTTAAAAGGTGTAAACCTGCCTGTCCCATGCCAGAGTTGTTGTTCCTGGTGGTTGGATTAGCCATTTAAGAGTGTGATTGTGGCCGTGCAGGTCTCTGTGTCGTATCCATTTCTCCGACATCGGGAACACCACCCATTGTCAGCAGGGCCCATCAACAAGTGCAGGCAGAGAACGGCCAGGAATGTCAAATATTTATCCCTTTTAAAAAATTTAATGTGTTCTCCCGGGGCCTGATTACAGAATTTTTTAATGCTTACAAATTTCTTCAGTGCAACAGTACTAGTTTGTTTCCAAGGAAACAAATGTACTTATACTGCACTGCACACATTCTTAATCATTAAATTCTATAATCTCCCTGCCTCGTTCTTTCTTTTTCCCTCTCTCTCTCTCTCTCCCCCTCCCCCTCTCTCTCTTTGAATGGGTAACTTCTAAAAATTGTTTGGGTTTTTTTTTTCTCTTTTTATTGGAGTCCCCAGACAGTCTTTAACTGCAGGTAAATTTTCAAATATGTTCTCAACAAAGGATTGTTTAGAGTTACTGAAAGAGAAAAACCCCCTTAATTGTCAAGAGCTTTTATGAAATCATCTTAATCAAGATAAATATGTATTCTTTATTCTTCTACTATTTAATGTGCAAATTTATTTTTCTGAAGCAGATCTTTAGTGTGGTTTGATGTGAAATGTCGAGGTAGGAGTGATATTTAAAAATCAATCTTAAATGTATATTTTTTTAATTCAGGCTCTGCAGACTATGTATGTTTATGCAACACTGTTTCTGTACAGGAAAAAGTATGTGAGCCTATATGGTACATTACAGATATTTACACAGAAGACCCAGGCTTTGAATATTTCATTCAAAATATACTAAATATTAGCTGAGGACTAATAGGAGCTCACTGGAGGGACGACACATTTTTAAAGTGACATCTTAGCATTCAAACCATTCATATTCTTCAATGTGAATGTAATTTTTATCTAAATGATTTCAGAGGAAAATTGATTCATTTGACTACAGTGCTCCTAAGACCAGTGGGAAGCTCATCATCTTAATATTGAATCTGTAAATCCTTTCCACTAGGGATGATTAACAGCTTTGTCAAGTGTTTATTTTACTTTAAGAAGAATATGTAATTTCCTGGCATAACTCAGACAGATTTCACTCTATTTCTTCTTTTGCATGTCACATTCATGCTGTAGGTTAGCGTGATCCAGCCTACCTCTATTAGGCTTCTATTTTGAGCAGTAAAAGGATAGCCTAATAAGTTTTCATAGTTTAATGAGCACACATCAGTTTGCCCTATGATTCATTTATACTTGATAAATAAAAACCCCCTCAGCAGTCCTGATAAGGAGTAATAACGGGGAATTACTTCCAGATGGCACTTTTGCTTTGCTACACGTGTGGTCTGAGCTGCCCATGGGACACAAACCCGCTGTGAGCGCAGGGATGTGCTGCTCACGGGGCTGGGAGGTGCTGGCAGAGCCTTCCTGGTGGCAGGACAAGGACAGGCAGTGGGGTTACTGTGGAAGTGTTTGGCTGTGCAGTGACATTTACAGGCTCAGCTTTGCACGCAGTTCCAGGGGCGGGTGGAAAAAAAAGCCACGCGCTGTCGTGGCTTAATTAAGACACCTTGGCTGGACTTAAAAAAAAAAACAAACATCAACAATAACAATTAAATGGCTAAAATAAAAGTGATTTTATTACTACACACAGCTTCAATGAGCAACAGACCAGTCTCTTAAAAAAAAAATAGATTTTTTTTTTTTCCAGTGGCTTTAACCCGAGGGAATGGCCTCGAGTTGTGTTAGATTGGATATTAGAAAGAGGTTCTTCACCCAGAGGGCATTGAACAGGCTCCCCAGGGCAGTGGGCAAAACACTGAGGCTGCCAGAGCTCCAGGAGGATTTGGATGATCCTCTCAGGGACAGGGTGTGATTCTTAGGGATGTGACTCTGTGCAGGGCCAGGAGCTGGACTTGATGATCCTTGTGAGAACTTTCCAACTTGGCATACTGTGGGATTCTGTGATGGACTATGTGTCAGGCAATAAAAGGTTATTGAAACATGCATGTGCCCTCCCAAAAAACCAAAATACATCTATCTGTCTATCTATCTGTATTCACAATCAGGCGATTTCCCATGGATAATGATTTAAGTCACCAAACCCCAGCATCTCCACCACGTCTGTCAGAGCTGAAGAAGCGTTTGGACAATGCCCTCAGGCACATGGTGGGATTCTTGGGGTGTCCTGCACAGGGCCAGGACTTGGGCTTCTTGTGAGTCCCTTCCAACTCATCATATTCTATTCTTCTTTTGCTGGGGGGGGGAGTTTAATTTGTGAACTTTTCCTTCTTAAGCTGCTCATGTGAAATATCTGAGTGTTTTTTTGGCCATAAATGCAATGCTGAGGGAGGTACCTTATAATAAAGGGAACGAGGGGAATGTGTATCAAGAGATTCCTGTGAAGGTTTACCAATCTGAATTATTCTCACTCACAGGATAAAGGGGAAAATTCTGTCCTTGTGCTGCTGGTTGTCCAGCTACATCTCAGCATTTTGGGGGTTTGAGGTGGGAAGTATAGATGAAAAGTTTAGCCAGTAATGAGCTGTGTATGGTTTGAACTGTCTTGTGCAGACTGGCAAAATAACAGATTTCAGGGGGGAGAAAGAAAAAAAAAAAAAAAGAAAGGAAAGTTTGCTGGAATCTATGGTTTCTCTTCCAAGATGAGATTAATTACAGCCCAAACGATCGGTGAATGCTCCCGCTTCAAGAATAAATGTTGTGAGCATGATTGCCTTCCAAACAGGAGTGACACAAATCTATTCTGCCTCTGCAACGGTATCATCAAGTATTGTTTGGTTTGGGTGTTTCTGCAGAAAGTGCTCCGTGCTCTTTTCTTTCCAATTTCCTGCTCAAAGTCTAAAATAGAAATTGCAGATTAGAAAATCCTTTGAGAATGGGGTTCAGCAAGTGAAACTGCTTGAAGGTAAGTTTCATACTAGTTTGACTGAATTTAATGAGCCATTGTTAGGAACCAAGCAAGCAAGCATTCTAGTGAGGCAGGAGGTATACACAAGCTGTCTTTTTAAGAAACCATTGTAAATCTGGTAACAAAGAGAGCCTGACTTTCTCCTTGAATTACCATGTTGACAAAAAAAAAAAAAAAAAAAGTCTACTGCATGCACTGATAGCAAATGAGATACATTCTGCTAGTAAAGAAAATTAGACCTTAAATTTAACTCTCTAAAGCCTAACGTGGAGGGCAAGGGAAAAGCCAGAGTCATGCTGAAAACCAAGCTGTTGCTTCAGCGAAACACAGGCTGTGTATAACTCCCTGTTCTGAGACAGAACATTGTGTGCAACTTTGCTGTATGATTAACAAACGGATTTTAATAGAGACTAAAAAGGGGAGAGAGAGGGAGGAAAAAAATACATAAACCAAGCTGTGTCTTTAACCAGTAGGGATTAAACAATTCACTTTGTTACCTGGGAGGCATCAAGGTGAAGGTCTCTGGTTGTGAGGGGCTGTGCTCACTCAGTGCTTGCTAACCTTGGGCTGGCTGCTTACAACGTGTGTCTCTGCTGTAGCCTGAAAAGGGTTTTTTAATATTTAAAATTATTAGTTTATAGTATCCATGTAATTTCTTCAGCCATAGGGCTTTAATTTCTTTGATGTGCATCTCTGTTCCAGCTGGTACTCCTACCACTCCTGCTGTCTCTTAGCCCTAAGTAAGGTTTCTCTCTTTGTTAAAGCTGGTGCCACTGATTTATCTTCAGCACTGAGAAGGGCTTTTATCCATTTTAAAAGTGATGCTGCTGAGACAGCTTTCCCTTGCCCTGAGAAGAACATTTTTTTGTTCATATTTGGTGGTTGGTTGGGTTTTTTTTCCTTTTTATTTTTTTTTTTTCTCCTTTCTTTTACGAAGTGTTTTTACTTAGAGGTGTATTTCTCTCAGGTTGTCTGTGGGGTCCCTTTATGCTCTGTTTGTTCCCAGAAAAAGCTTTTTGGGGAAAACAGCAAATTTCCCCTCTTTCTGAGAGCATGGCTCTCCCAATTCCAACAGGATTGCCTAAAATATTGCCCTGAAAAGGATCCTGGTTGCACCACAGAAGACAAGAACTGAGGTTTTCCTCACTCAGGGTCTTCTTTTTTTCAGGGAAAATTAGCCTGGAACTTTCCCCTTAAAATATTCAAACTGTGTTTCTTCCCTACAAGTACTGTAGTCAATAATTTCCTCATGAATCAGGCTCCTAATTTGTTATTTAAAGTGAATACATCACGTTTATACACTTGTACCTTCCTGACCTCACCTTCCTAGATTGTTTTCCCTTTTTTAATCTATTCAGTACCTGGCAGTTAAGTGTTTTTCTGGAAATATACTGAAGATGAAAATGGTTTGAATTACCTTTATACAGATAGCTAAAGGCAGCTTTTGAAGTCATCTGGTCTTCCTTGGTGCCTTGGGTTGTGGGAACACACCAAAAACGTTTATTTTTTTTTGTAGCACCTTTAATGTCGACAAATCCTAAAATGTTTTATATTCATCCCAGTAAAAAGGAACACCTATAAAATACCTGAAAACTAATAAGATGCGATGGATTTAGATTAAAAAGATCTTGTAAAAAGTCTGCAGATCACTCTTAAAACCAGAAACAGACTCTGAATGTAGAAGTGTTGCCCAGGAGACTGGACACTAAAGACTTTTTCACAGGATCTTGAAATACCTGGAGCAATTAACAATCTATTGTGGAAAAAACCACATTTATTTACTATTAAAAGTAACAAGTCATTATATCAAAGCCAAAATTAACTTGTAACTTGGTATAACTGAAGGCCCTGCTGCCATCTACATGCTGAGAAAGGGTTTCAGCCTCTTAACAGTTTTCTTTTTTGGAGTCAGTCAGAATTATGAACGAGCTGGGATGTCTTACATTGCCTGCAGACCAGACAAAATGCTGCTATGCAGGCCAGCAAATAAAGCCTTACACTAATCAAATGCTCTGCTGAATAAAATATGAGCGTGTTATTTTGCATAATAAATAGCAAGCCAAAATATAAATTGAACAGTGGTACTAATAAATAAATAAGATCATCTGAAGCTGGGTTTCAGGAACAAAAACTTCAGACTTCATCAATTATGGAGGTTTGTGTGTGTGTGTGTGTTCATTAGTGTGTGTAAGAGCAGAGGGGAAATGGTGGCATACATGATATTTTCTCTACCTTTTTGGTCTCACTCTCTCTTTGGATCATTAATCTAGAAAGAGCAAGTAAAGAAATCCTTCTTGCCATATCGAGGGAGTTGGAACCAGACAATCTTTGAGTTCTCTTCCAACCTAAACTGTTCTGTGATCTGGATTTCTTTTCTTGCCTTGCAAAGCCAAAACATCGCAGTCAGTTTCTACTTTCCCAGAACAAAACAGATCCTCTTTGCACCGATACAAGAGCAGTTCAAATATTTCATTCCTGGTGGCTGAGAGTCTCTGTCTGCATGTGGGTGAACGAAGAAAGCCCACAAGAGGGTGATCTGGGTGATGCCCAGAGAATCTTCCCAGTTCCCAGTGCTTCTCTGCACATCTCTGCCCTTTGGGGAAGGTTTTTCTCCCATCAGGAAAGACAGGAAATATTTTATCTTTCATATGTGCAGATTCTCAGTGAAATAAGAGAGAACAAGCCTATTTCTACAGTGAAGATCTGTTATGTATAATAACAAAAAAACCCCAAAACAGTTGGGACAAGGCATTTTTAACCAGCTCTGCCACAGTTTTTAAGTCCACATCTCCTTTATTTCTTTCCTAAACACAGATTATATGAAGATGTTTAAGCAGTCCAGAGTCAAACTGGATTTTAAAGTTAAACTAAATGTCTGTGGGACAGAAGGGGGTTTTTGGTACCCCTGCTATAAATCACGACAACAATTGAAAAAACACAAACAGGAATTCTTTTTTTTTGTTTCTTTTTTTTTTGAGGAGGAAGTCATGTGTCACCTGTCACCACTGGCTACCACCAAATAAGTAACAAAAATCTGGAGATGTCAGCAAATCCTCAGTTACCTCATTTCCTCTTCTCTTTTTACTTCTTGGTTTCCAATCACGGGAGAGCATCTGCTTATTTTTGGAACAAATACCAGGAAACTGCTTTGCCTTTGCTCTTTGCCTTCAGATTCTACTCTGAGGGTACAACAGAGCAGCAGGACTGGAGCCAGGCAGGGATCTTTGCAGTGAGTGCGAGGGTTTGTAGGGTCCTCATGGCAGCCTGGAGCTCTCCATGGGGAGATGTTCGAGTCTCCAGGGATGGTGGGAGCAGAGATGGAGTGATCTTGTCTCAGAGCTGCACTACCTTCAACCTGGTCCCAAATTTATCCTCAGAAATTACACCTGCAGACACCCACAAAACGTGTAAATACACAATGGGAAGATTATCTTTTATTCTTTTCTTGGTTTCTTCCCCACAAACCAGACGATTCCCAAGGACATCCACTGTTATGTCTCAATTTATCTCAGGTTGGGACCATTTTTTCCTAAACTTGCAGCTCATACTTTCAGTTACAGCTTTAAATTTTCCCCTTTGATGACCACAACCTTCATCTTCCCCACTTCTTCAGGACCCTCAATCTTTCCACATCTATTTTGGGGAGGGAAAAAAAAAGCGCCACCTCAGATCTCTCACTTTTTTTTTCCCCATTACCTCCTAATGCCCAAAGTTTAATCTCCAGTACTGCTCTGCCAATTTATCTCAATTAATGCCCATCTGCTGTTGAGGGGAACACCCTCGCCCATCCTGCTGTCAGAATCTTGGATATCTATAGATAATTTCACATCCCTATCCCCCAAGTGTGTGACTTGCTGCTTAGAATCCATAATGCTTTAAGTATCTCATTTTCCATGTATGTATTTTCAATTAAGCCACTTTTTTACTGTTTAGCACTTGGGGCTTTTTTTGAAAAGTCAGTTTGAGAACCCCAACTTCAGACTGATACACCTCAAGTGATACTTTGGGCTTTAAAGCTTCCCTGAAGAGCTTCCTGAACTTGATCCTTTATCTGTGAATTAAGGTGAACATTTCCCACAGTGACAAATACAGAAAAAAACCAATGAAAATTAATAACCCATTCTCATAACAACCTTTCTCCAAAAATTATTAAGCCTTGAATAACTCTGATTGTAAAAAATATTTCCTATCTGCAGGTAATTTGCTAATAGAAAACAAGGCCCTTATTTATCCTGAATTTATTCTCAATCAGTAACTCAGGTGTGTCTTTTTGTCCCTTTGACCTCTGGATAGGCTAAAAAAGAATAGCAAATAAATCCTGTGCCTCGTATTCCCATTCCTGCTCTCGGCTGAATACATTATCCCTGAAAACTTCTTGGCTCTCCTATTGGTGTTGGATAGCACCACATTTTATTAAAGATCTGTGAAGTGTTTCCTTAGATGTAACATCGTGTATTTTTTTTTTTTTTAAGAAAGACCTTTTAAGTTTTACAAAATCTTCTTGGCTTTGCAGAGGTGATAACAGGAAAGAAGAATAATGAGATAAAACCTCTCCCTTCAGGAGAGGGTTGTTTTTTTTTTTTTTTTTTTTTTTTTTAAATTGAGGAACAAATTATTTCGTAGGCTCTCATTAGTTATTCCCACGGGTTCTAATGACAAGGTGCCAACTTTCACACTTTAAACAGGTTAATTAGTCAGGTAGTAATGAAATTGGGTGATACCTGTGCCACAGCTCCTAATAATGTGCTTAAATGTCTGTAAACCCGAAAGGATATTTGCAGCTCCAGCTCTTCTCAGCACTGCATAAATAAATGTTTTCTAGCTAATGGGCAAACTAACTTTAAAGTCACACTTTGGTCACCATTGTTCTGTTTCATGAAGTAGATGTTGATATTTCTGCTCTTTTTAGGGCTACAAAGATACCTCAACTGAAGTGTTTATTTTTCCTCTATCCACTGGCCATATGTGTTCAATATTTTAATGCAGTTTCTTTCCCCTAAAAATAATAAAATCAAACTTAAAAAATTGCTCTTTGGAGATCTTCTGGGGTAAAATTGATGCAGGAATACGAGTAAGTAGCAGGAACTGAGGTGAGCAGAGTGACATGTGTGCACAAGGAAAGAAACACTTTGAGAAAAGAGAAAATAACAACAAAAAACCAAACCCACAACAAAAAATTAATTTCAGGCTTCCAAAGAGCAAATATAAATAGCTGTATGATCTACCTCATTTAAGAAATATCCTCTAAAGAATACCAGAGAAGTGTCCTTAGCTGGAAAAGTTGCTAATAGCCAGTTGCATTGGAAAGGATAGGAAGAAATGCTTGAGTTTCATTTTTCTACTTGAAGTTTTCAGGCACAATTGGTTCAATTATTTATGACAAACAAAATATTACTCAAGTTTTGTTGTGTTCCTTCTTGCTCGTGATTTGCTCGCACAGCTATTTTGATTTCTAGGAAAGTATTTGTTATTTCTAAATATTTACTGGATAGTTTATGCAAACAAGTGTTGGATTTATTCATGCCCTGATCATTTCTAGCAGTCATTGTTTATAAGACACAATTTGTCATCAAAATCACATGGGTGTTGTATCCATTCTCTTCCTGAATATTTGACTGCTTCAAAAACGGGGAATAACAAGGCTGGCAAGTGAATGAAGAATAACAAAGCCCTTCCTCATATGAATTTTTGAACAAATAAACATTTAGGCCGAACTTAAAAGGTCTTGCAAATATTTGGATGAATAAACCAGTCAGGGCTCATCTGAGCGCTCGCCCAGAGCAAATAACATGACCCCACAGAAAACAGCAAAGCAAATTTCCAAGGCATGTTTGGAGAAGTGATCTTCACCAAGTATTTGGGGTTGTTTGACCACATATGTCCCAGTGTTTACTCCCAGTGAGCGGGCTACTGAGCTTGAAGGCATCTTCCTAACAAATGAGTTTGCATGTGAACTGCATTCATGGTATCTGTGCTATTTTTTAAAAAAAATCTCCAACAACAACAAAAAAATTAAAACCCTCATAGAACAAAATAGGATTTTATTTTTATATTAATTTCTGTAATTTTTTTTAATAAGCATAATAGAAAATTTCACGAAATTCTGTTGCCTGGTGAGATGCTTTGCCATGGAAAACACCAGTAATTTTCTTTACTTCGCAAGTGAACTCTTCTAATGACTTTTTGCTCCATGTTTCATTTGTTTGTTTGGGTGAGGATTGCTTGTTTTCTTGTTTTTAACTGGTGGGATCGTGAGTTGGGAACAATTTTCTTCCCTGGGATAGAGCTTAATACAGCTGGAAGTACCGGGAAGTCAGCGAGCAATTGATAAACGCAGTGAGCAAATGGTGGCTTATCCAACAAAAACGAAATTTAAGTTCTCAGGACTAGGTGGTCCAAAAAGATTAAACTCCACTCTGCTGGGGTGTGTTGAATAATGATTGAACACTCAGAGCATCTCAGCCCTGCACCTCGCCCTCTTTTTATTTTGCACATTACAATTACCAGCCATGATCTTCATTCATGACTTATTGTGGGCGACGGGCCATAATCCTCATTCATGACCAGCTATAACCAGAAAAAAACCCAACCAAAACACAACAAAAAACCAACCCAGCACACAAAACAAAAGCCCTTCATGCTACTTAGAGAGAGAACATGACATTATGCAGAGTTTCCCTCATTCTAAGAGCAATACAGAGATATAACAAATGCTACAGCAGAGATGCTTTTAAAGCATTTGTTGTTTGTTTTTTCTTTTTTAAAAAAGAAAAGATGCAGCTTCTCTAAGTTGATGTAGGGAAGAGAAAAACCAGGGTGGAATTGCAAACATGTATATCATTACTGCAACTGCATTCCATTTATTTCCCTTTGCAAAATAAATTACATAAATGGGGTTTGTATTGTTAGCTATTCTTCATCCAGAGATTGGGATAATTAGGTTTCAAATACGGTGATGTTTTAAAACACATTTAATTTAGTAAAATTGGTAAGGAAGCTGCAGCAATTAAAAATAAAGGACAAAAGTTTCTTTTGCCTTCCTGGGTAATTTGGGGTGAATTTAGACTATGGCATTAGAAGTACAAAAGGTAACTAAAAATGCCATTAAATGAAATGTTCCCAGTCCAAGCAATTTCCTTCTTAACAGAAAGTAAAATGCAAACAGAGATTACTAAAACCCTGCTGTGTTTAATTTAAGTGTATGTAAGCCTTTTACTCACAGTTATTTTGTCTGGAGATAATCATGTAGATCCTCAGTGGTCAGAGCTGTGAAGCGTGTGTTGTCAAAAGTTGCTCACTCTTTGATTCCCCCTCGCTTCTGTCAGCCATGGTTCACATCATGCAAGCTCAGCTCATTCATCTTCTGACAGGGTGGGATTCTCCCATTTCTGTCTCCATCAATTTGCTCCTGTCGCCTCTGGATTGCTCGCAGGAGCACCGAAAAAGTGTGTGAGTCGGGTGTAAATGCTGATTATTTCTCTGGCTAAGCAGGAACGCACTGGAGGGATGGGAGAACTTTGGCTCTTCCAGCCCGGCAGCAACAGGCAGGGGTAGGGTTTAAAAAAAAAAGGGGGAAATTCGGCATCTATTGTAGATTCATTATTCTACAGAAATAAAAGAGCTGGAGATTTATTAGATACAGAGCCATGTAGTGACAGAGGCGGCTTTGGAGAGGTTTGTGCATCTGAGAAGCGATTACAGACAGCAAGAAATTAGGGGGCCAGTTGGACAGTGCAGTCCTGTCTTGGGCAAGGGTGTCAGTGGGGAGTTTTGCCCACAAAGAGGGTGCTGTGTGGGGGAAGTCTCTTTTACTACACAGATTTTTCTGTTGCTGCTTTATATTGGTACCTCATATCTGGTCTAAAAGTGCTCCTGGAGAAGGGAGGGCTTTTTTGTTCCCCAGTGCTGGAAAGGCCTTGATTCATAGCACTGTGTAGACAGTCACTACTGCTTCCATAGGGACCAGAAACAGCATTTCCCACGATGCAGAGGAAGCAGAGTGGATGTAAAACAGTTTACATTTGCCAGTCTTGGAGTGTGGAATAATTCCAGCAGCCACCAGCTGGGGATGAGCCGAAAGCCGGGATGCAGCAAAGGCTGATGTGCCCCTCGACTGGCTAAGGCAAAATAGCAGCATCCCAGGACTCAGACAAAATGAAACTGGGAGGTGTGAAGTGTGGCCTGGCTGCCAGCATGTCCCATCCTGGCACCTTAGGGAGCACCTCAGACCCAGCAGCTGCTTTGTCTTGTCCTGCCAGGCTTAGTCACATCCCCCTCCATTTCCAGCACGTGCCACTGCTGGGGCTGCACGTGGATTTTACAGCCAGGCGCAAAATGTGACACATTTTCAGGAGTTCAGCCCCCGAGAGACTGGAATGAAAAGACCAAATACACCAAGGAATAGTCAAGTGAGACATGATCCAAAAAAAAAAATAAATAAAGGAAAAAAAAGGCATCCCGTAGAATTGTGGAATCATGGAATCACACAATGGTTTGAGTTGGAAGGGACCTTAAAGCTCATCTTGTTTCAAGTCCCCTGCAATGGGCAGGGACACTTTCCACTGTCCCAGGTTCCTCCAAGCCCCATCCAGCCTGGCTTTGGACGCTTGCAGGGATGGGGCAGCCACAACTTTTCTGCCCAACCTGTGCCAGGGCCTCAGTAAAGAATTTCTTCCTAACATCTTATCTAAATCTCCCCTCTTCTAGTTTAAAACTGGTCCCCCTTGTCCTATCACTATCTGGCTGTGTAAAAAGTCACTCTTCCTCTTTTCTATAACATTCATGTCACTGAGGTGTGACATCAGTGTCTCTTCTGATGCCTCTACCTTAGGTTTTGAAGCAGACAGAGATTTAGTCACGAGCTTCCCCTCCCTGAGCCCAGGGCCTGGGTCAGCACGTGGAGAAAGGCAACTGGGGTAAAACTGGGTCTTTTTGTTTGATTTCTTTTCTGTTGAACACAATGACACTACTTTTTTTTTTTCTGTGAACTCAAGCTCAATTCACTCCCATAAAAAAAAATTATCACATCTCCTACCCTGCAGAAAAAAAAAAAGGTATTTCCTTCCATCATCTGGGGAGGAAAACACAAAGATGACCATGATATTAAATAAGCCCTTTATATCTTCTTAGATTTTTCTCTTGTCCTTGGCACAGTGAGTGAAAGAGCTCTGACACATCTATTGCTTTTAATATGAGAGTAAGCAGAGAATGATGGCAATTACCCCTCTGCAGGGAAGAACCTCTGCTGGAAGGCACCAAGAGCCCTGCTCTGACTCTGCTCTTCTTTAATGTGCTCTGGGAAATTGAATATGAATTAGTGGGATGCAGAGTGCAGGCTGGCTCTTCATTGCACCTTGGCCTGACTTCTGTAGCAAAAATGTGATGCTCCTACCCCTGGCAGGGAGACATGACTTAAATAAAGAAAAATATATATATAAAAAAATATATAAACCACCATTAAATTGCAATTTTAAAGCAGTCTTTAGTTATGTTGAGTGTTTTACTTCGTCAGCACAGCTCAGCTGCTCTGGGTCTGCCACAAACTTCTCAGACAGGAGATTTTTCTCAGTTGCAGCCCCTTGTCCTGCAGGAATCCATCTGACAGCAAATCTGAACAGAAACACCCCGTCCCTAACACACCATCACCCTGGCACAGGGAGACACTGAGCATATGCAATTACTGTTTGTTAACTAAGGAGGGATCAGAACTCCATGTGAAATCTGTCAGGGAGCTCTAATATCTTAATATCAGCCATGTCCTGTAAAAGATGATTTTATCAGTGATAAAAAAATCCTGCTGATCCAGCTGCCACGAAAAAGTGCTGGTTTGGGGTGGTTTTGTGCAGGGGGAAGGACAGGCAAGTAAAATAGTTTCATTCTTTCATCAAACATTATCATTGTGGTCAGGAACAGGAAGGGTTTCTGTGCCTGTGCTGGTGTATTGTCATGATAATTTTGCAGGGAAGAGTTACAGTGTGTGTCAATTGAAAGGAAAAAGCATTTCTGGCCAATTAAGATGAAATTATAAATGCTAGGAAAATACAGATTCTAGAAATGCTAGAATACTGTGAGTCCTTTTGCCAATTGTTTAATATGAAATAGACTACAATTTGGGAGAAATCATTTTCTGTGGAGCAACCCCTTTGCTCTTATTTTGGATGATGGTCTTCTCAGCCCTGTCTCTAGATTTTCGTGATGCACTTTATTTTTGTAGAGATCTGACAGAAAGCTTGTGCCTGAATTCAATTATCTGCTAGAGAATGTGAGCCACTTGTGTGTTTCAGGATGACTTTGGATTGCTATCAAGATATGTTCTAACCATAAACTACTAGGTTACCAAAAAACTCAACTTGGAGGACAGTTAAAGCTTAAGGTTAAGAAATGATCACAAGTACCAGTGACTACCTTTAATCATAGCCTGGTTTGCCAAGATGCATTTCCTTGGTATAATGTCTTTTCTTCTGTACCAAATTATGGAAGATTATAGGCTTTTTTACTTTAGGAAAGTCTTCTTATTTCCCAGCATAAAATGTTATTATCTACCTGATGAGTGTTGTCTGCAGGAAAATGCAAACGCTGTGTTGGAACAATATTGTTTTTCATTAGGTCACGTCTTATTAGACACTTTAGGCTTAGTTCTCTTAGACTAAAAAAAAAAAAAAGAAAACCCACCCTGTTCAGGGTTCTGGAAATGAGGTTTTATGGAATGATATGAATTATGGTTATGTGCAGGCACTTGGAATAAAACTGCTTCTGAGCAACTAGAGGAAAAGTTGCAATATTTGAAGTTTATAAAAAGCTTCAGTTTGGAACGAAAACAGTCCTTTCCCTGCCTCCTGCCCTCCCCCTTGGTCTCCTCTTGGCACTGGGAAAATTCTTGTGATGATGGAAGTCAGGAAGATGAGCAGCTGGTCCTGCCAGGGAAGTCTAGCAGATGCAGTGTGAAGAACTTGCTCCTCTTTAATTAAAGTGGGGATTAGAATCAGCTTCTGGATGCCTCAGAAACCGCCTTTTCTCTCTATCAGGAACAAACCTCTCCCTCTCGTCTTGTTCTCAGACACCCAGGACTCAGGACAGCTGAGCTTTCTAATATTCTTAACATTAGATAAGTTTATACTAAATTCTGCTTCTTTCCAGATATTCCTTGTCAAAATAGTCTTTCTCAGTCTTCAAATGCCCCTTTGCTCAAAGTGTCATTTTCTGAATCAGAGAATTCCTTGGATCAGTGCTGAATAGCTGGTAAAATTGCTCATTATACACAATCTTCTGGTAAACATTTTTTATGTTTGGGAACCATTCCTGATTTCTGTGAATGCCCAGTTATTTTTAGATACTTCACAAACAGTAGCTGTAGGTGTTCACTTATTTTTCCTGTTGGCTATTTCTATTCATTCTTGGTTCTTGGTGTACACTGTTGATCCCCTAACATATTTCCCCCTGTCTCTTCTTGATTAGATCATTGAAGCTTTTTCCAAGAGGGGAATAATTAATAGCAATCGGTGAATAATCAACTCAAAAGGCAATTAATGAATAATGCACAAATTTTCAGACATTGATCATCTCTTAATCTGATGCAGTGTTTTGAATTCAGATATTTCTTCATTCATAAACTCGTCATGTGTAAGCAGGGCTTGAATGGTGCTGGGCAGTGAATGACAGCAAAGAAAAATCAGCTTATTTCTTATAGGAAAAAAGAGAAACGACCTCAAATTGTATAACTGTTGCATTGTTCCAGCTCTTCTCTCTAGGCTTTGGTGACTCAGTTCTTCTATTCCCATCATCACCTAAAACCAGGGACTAAAACAAGATGTTTTACAACGTGCTGTGCAGCCACTGGGTATTTCCATGTGCTGTACCCAAGGTCCAGGAACTTTGTGGTTGCTGGGAAATCTGGGAAACAGCACTGGGATGGGAGCTCCCTGGGAGCCTCTGCCTGAATCTTTAGTTAACAGTCATCTCCTTTGATAGATGACTATTTTTGATGGACTCTTGATCCCTGCTTTGGGACACACAGAGTTTGGGTGGTTGTTTTTTCTTTGCTTTTAATTTCCTCTGATGTGCAGCAAGCTGGAGAACTGGAAAGGCTTAAAATCTCTGTTTGGCAAATGATGCCACACAAAATTTTTCATAGTTAGCCTTGCAGGATCAGAAGGGTTTAACTTTGGTCACTGGGTTCCACCTGGTCTCTCCCATCTCCTTTCCTCGAGACTCCTCTTAAACAGTGTGGGGGAACTCTCTAAGTGGATTGATGTGTGTCCTCTCATCCAGGGCTGCCAGAACTACTGCTGAATTTAGGGATGTGGCCACCAAGGGGACCCCAATCTCTGCCCAGCTCCTGGCACAGTG